CGCGGGAGCGGAGCGAGGCCGGGGCTGAGCTGCTTGGGGAAATCCCACACCTGATGTACAAATTCCATGAATCCACGTGAATTTTTGAAACATTTATCGAGCTATTGTCACATGCATTATCCCAGGCTGGAGGCAGAGCTCTTGCAAAGCCAAAAGGCGCCTTCCATGTGTCCTGGGATGCACTCATAAAGCACCATGTGTCTGCATTACTGAGCTGCGGTATATATTTCTTGGTACTTGACTTGCAGCTGTAGCTGAATGCTTGTGACGGATTTCATTTACCGTCCTTTATTTACAGCTGCAGCTCAAATTTATTCACCGGCCCCAGCCCTTCGGGTTCACAGAAAATCATGGAGCAGTTGAGCTGGAAAGGACATCCGGAGGTCCTCTAGTCCAAGCCCCTGCCTGAGACAGGATCATCCCCATCCAAACCATCCTGTACAAATCTACCATTGAACCGCTTCCTAAGACTACCATCAGCTGACACAACAAAAGACATACCACCCTGATGGAGGGCATGACACCCTGTGTTATTTGCCACGTGGTACGGATGGACAAGGCTGCGACTTTCCTCTGCGCATGCAGTTCACAGCATAAAGCAAAAGAAGACACCAGGATGGAAACGTTTGCAGTGATCTGCCCAGAATCAGGCACCGACACCTGGTGAATCCCAAATCATTTTTTATCTCTAAGCTTATAACTAGAGCTGCTGGCTTTTGTCTGAAGCTAAGCAGGTAGTGAGAAGCATTGCTAGCTGGGGCCCTACATCCCCAGCTGTCGGGCCAGCCTTTTTTTCAGCCCTGAACAGACCTGTCCCTTCCCCTGAATGTTGTCTTAACTTTGGGAGTAGAGGGGATGGGAAACTCAAAATTTAGGTTGAGCCAAGGCTACTGTGGCTCAGCTTCTTCTTGCTGAGTGGCACACACGTGCGTGCTTGTGTGGGTGTGCGACCTTACAGAAAACAGCCGCACAGCAAAATGGAGGGATGGTTATAATACAGGGAGATTGATGAGAAGGGTGCACGAGGGTCCTTGAGAAAGGTTGGAGGTTGACAATGTTCCCTTGGCCTTAAAGATTTGGAAATCACCGAGTGCAATATAAGTACAGTATAGCTATAGGTGCATAGGTGGTATATAGGCCACGAGAGCAAGCATTGCCCCTGCAGCGCCTTCAGCATGGTGCCCTTGGGAGACATTCGCCATAAGCCCATCACCCTGGCTTCAGAGCGATAGTCGTGCTGCATTTACTCCACCATGGGTACGCTCATAAACCAGAGGCTTTCTTCACAACTCTAACAGCTCGAGACTGCCCCTGTCTGAAAGAAAGCCTGAGATGATAAAGGTGGCGAGGTGTCACCTGCCCCCCCACCCTGAGCCAAATTCATCAGTTCCAATTCATCGGTTTGTACCCAAAAGCTGGCAAAGCAGAATTTTTTCCAACCATTTTAGTTGGCCTAACAAAAGAAATAGGATTTACCCGAAGAACCTTGTCCGCCTTGGTCCTTGGATGTCATTTTTAAAGCGTCTACCTCTATGCAGTCCGCCTCTACGCAACCTGGATGCCTCTATGCAGGGCGCTTTGCAAAGCAGCCGTCGCGTGCGCTACACGGCGCTACAAGGCAGTGATGAGCCTCCAGGAAACATTCAAAGGAGGTTGAGGAACACCCGGTGGGGACTAACGAGGCTGACAATAATCGCAACAAATGAGATATTGGTAACAAGATTAGCCACTGACTCCATGCTGGGAAGAGTCAATTAGCTGCCGCGTGTGAAGGTGGAACCAGATCAGAGTGAAAAGTGCCCGTCCCAGAGCAAAACAGGGCACCCAGGAGAGCAGCGATGCTGCCCCAGCCCGGGGGCATTCAAAGTGAGCTCACCGATAGCTGCGCCCTGCTCTCATTTACCCTCGTGTCGTTCCTGGTGACGCTGGATCTGGGCTGAGGAGGGCTGGGAAGCTTTGCCAGGCAGCACTGTCGGTGCATGGAGACAGAGAGTGTCGTGCTCTCGTGCGGTGAGCCCGGCTGCCTGTAGTCCACAGAGGATATCCGGGGAGGTAAGAGTCCCAGCAAGACACAAGTAACAGAAGTGACTCCAGGGACGAGGCGATGGTGCCTTTGCCGAAGCCAGAAAAAGGCTGTTCTCAGTATGGCCTAGGGAGGACAGACACAGTCTGTCTGCCCTGGCGGGGGGTCGGGCTAGAAGATCTACTAGGTCCCTTCCGACCCTTAATCTATGAATCTATGAACAGCTGGAGGTCTGCACTGGACCTAAGCCAAGGGTAGTTGGCCTGTTTCTGCTGGGAGCGGACACGTGTGCAGCCCGAGGGCTAAAGGCAGCAGAGCCATGAGTACTGGGCAGCATAGGTGTGGGGGGTGCTGCTGCTGTTGCTGGCCTGAAAACGTGATGGGTCCACGGTCCTAGTGACCTGTGTAAGGACAGGAATGCCACAGAAGCCAGGACGCAATGTTAGAGAACCAGCATTTCCACGGGGAAGAAGCAGAGAGAGCTGCCGAGGTGACAGGAGAATCTCAGCTCTGCTGCTCTTAGTCCCATTAAACATAAAAGCATCATGTATTCCCC